AAGAGCGCAAATCTTGTACTGTGTAATATACGGGCCTGGTGCCCGATAAATCTACTAGTATTGACATCACCAATTTTAAAGACCTTACAGCTAATATCACTCAAACTCTCAGAAACAGATCTAAAAAATCATTAAAAAAAAAAAACAAAAAAAAATAATAATTTCACTACACTGAATAGTTCGCTAGCTGAATGTTCTCATAGATAGTTAATGATTTTTGTTCAGGCCCATCATAGGCGAAGTTCGGGTATGCTGAACAATAATCTGTCGAGTCCCTCTGGTTGCTATCCGCAAATTATATATGAACATGTCATGTCATATCAGGACATATCAAGCCCAATATGTCCATATATGATCAATTTTTATATATAGTCATTTCAAAATATTGTTCACGGTAAAATTAACAAATTTTCTAAAATACCATAAATTATTATTCTCACATGTGTCTACAGTACATAAGCTTGGGACCCGTTATACACATTAAAAACTAAAAGACATGTACAGCATTCAACGTAAAAATGTTTCCTTGGAAAATCCATAAAACTGAAAACTATAACAAAAAAAGACAGTAGCGCCACAAAGTGGCCATAGCTGCCTCCAAAATTCCCTCAGAGTGACCCCCCAGGGTTCCAATAATTGTCTGCTTGCATACGCGAAATGGGCCTCACTAATATAATATAACTTATTCCTCGAAGAAAACAAGAAGGTAATGTAATCTTAACGGCTCTAAATCTTATTTCAGTGTCCTCACCTCGTCTCGGGGAGTACAATATTTGCAGGCGCGCCCCGTCGCTCGACATTGTTCCCCTGAGATGCTCTCCGCTGGACTCGAAAGATGCCAAGTAAAGTCCTTCCATACCAATAAGGCTCCCGTAGGGCCACAGTCTTGGCCAGAGTAACAAGTTTATGTGTGTTCTTCTTACATTCTACGGGCCTCTCTTTTTGTCGCACATCCTGTTCACTTCCATCATGCCTCAGCTGTGTATCGCTGCAGCTAAGTTCCGTGAGCATAAGTCCAATTTATTTAAGAAGAAGCTCGACCAGAAGACCTCCCGCAGGTAGTCCGTGCCAAAAGAATTTACCTTCGAGCTGTGACCTGCCAGATAGTCACTGAATTTTTTCCTCGTACTTTATGTACATGTATGTGTATATATATATATATATATATATATATATATTTATATTATTATATACAATGCGTACATTGCATATGTGTGAATTGATCGCATCATCATGTTAAAAATGACAGTGCATATATGTCTGGAGAATTATATATCTGGACTCTCGACTAAATTTTGAATCTGCTACTGTTGTAACACAACTATATAACGCTCGCCAAAGATTTACTGCGGGAACGTTCCTGGCTGGTGGTGATGGCAAGATGTAGAAAAGACTTATATTAGCTGGTCTCAGTTTATATTAGACCCTGTCATAAAATTTATTACGAGCTATCATACATAGATAATTATTTTACTTGGCGCAACTGAGGAGGCTGTAAATATTCTAAGAGCTCCCACTAATCTACCGTGAAGTGGTATTTATTCCTCTAAAAGTTTTTCTCTTCAGGCTATTGTTATATTGCATTAGAAAATATTACTCTTGTTAACAGTGTCTACTAAAATCAGTGTAGAGATTTAACTAGCAGTACCTACTCGAGTCAGACTACAGGCTAGACCTTTTTGTCCACTGGCTGTTTAGTTGTCGTTGTTTTTACTATATTACTATTATTATTATTATTATTATTTCTTTATCTTTATTCTTCCCATTCTCGGGTTTGTCGAAAGCCATTAGTAAAACCGTTGAGACTTTGAGACAGTTTAACGAAATGTTGTTGTTGCGTAAGGGCAAGGTCAACTTTGGGTTATGTTAGTTCACTTCCTGGTTTCTCTGAAGGCCGTTCAGTGGAAAGGATTAACTCCAGTTATACATAACACTAACCGTAACAATTCATCAACATTTTCTTTATAACTTGTCAATTTTGTTCACGGAAAAAAGTAAACTGTAATAAATAACAGTCGATTTATAATTAGTAATGATCAACTGCTAAAAATTACCATTTCAAACAGTAAAATCGTGATTTTACTATTCACATTGTATAATATTTACAATTTAAACGTTACAATTTACTCTTTACATGGAAGAAAATACTATTTCAAACAGTAATATTCGCTATGTCAATGTCTAAAATGTTAAAGTATAATAATTAACAATTCAGACTTTAATATTTATCATTTCGTACCTAAAAAATGATGTTATGATATGTAAAAAGTGTAAAATAAAGTTAGTAAATTTTAAATACAAGCAACGTCAATATTTACAAAGTAAAATGGTAAATTTTAGACGCAACGCTAAAAATCAAACTGTAATTATTGACTTGCTTAGGCTGGTAAAATGTATATTTTAAAACTATAATTTTTACTGTTTGAAATGTTAAATTCTCCCAGCGTGAGACCCCCTTCTCTTTCATCTGAGTTCCCCTTCTCTTCATAATATGAACTATATGTTGAAATGGCAATTTTTACTGTTTGAAACAGTAATTTTTAAAGATGAAAGAGTCGTTATTTACTATAGTGACAACTACTAATCACTTATTTTGGATATTAAATTATAAATTGTGGCTTTTATACTTTCTACATTAAGTTATGTAATATTTATATTTTTGCCACCCTGATGTCCGCTTTACTGTTTGAAACTATAAAAACTAACCGGAATCCGAGTGAATATTACAGTTTACTTTTTTCCGTGTTGGCATATTCAGAACAATGGACACATTTACAAGGAAATCCCTCTTCAAATTCTATATTTAAACAACCCATTCATTATAAAGTAAACTAAACTTAGGCCGTTTTTCCTAATGTAGAGTCTAGGCTTTTACTTTTGGATTTTTTTTTTTTTTTTTTTTTATGGTATCCTTCGTGTTTTTTTGAGTTTTTTAAGTTAAGTTCGAGTTGTAAAATGCAGTAATAAATAAGTTAGGATTATGACATAAAAAAAAAAGGAAAATAGACTCTTTATGAGCCAACCCATTCATTATAAAGTAAACTTAAACTTAGGCCCGGTTTTTTCCTTTAATGTAGAGTCTAGGCTTTTACGTTTTGTTTAACTTTTTTTTTTTTTTTTTTTTTTTTTTTATGGTATCCTTCGTGTTTTTTTGAGTTTTTTAAGTTAAGTTCGAGTTGTAAAATGCAGTAATAAATAAGTTAGGATTATGACATAAAAAAAAAAGGAAAATAGACTCTTTATGAGCCATAAAAATTTACAAGAAACCCATTATAAGTTCATAATGATTTTATTTCCGGCCGATGGTCGATCATAAATTTTGGTAACTGACTGAAGTGAAAATCTTAGGCTGGAAATATTTTCTCTCTGCGGGGACCAGACAATAAATTATCAGTCATGCAGCAACCTTGTAAATCTTGAATACTTGCTGAAACTTACAAATTTTTCTATTAAAACCGAATCTGTAACCATTGAGGTAATAATTTAAAAATTAACAATTATTTTCTTTGGAAAAAATAATTTTGTTGGTAAATATTTCGTGATTTAAAAATTAAAAAAATTATCTAAGTATTAAAAATGCTCTTTAAAGAAGTTATTTGCTTATTAAAATTAATCAAAACTTTTCTTTGCTTGGTTCAAGACAGAAAAAATTTATTCAAAATAATGTTTGTGATCAAAAATTTTGTTTCTTGGATTAAGTTAATTTTTTTAACTGTTTATTGGCGTTCAATTTCATTTAAAAAAAATTTTGAGAAATTTTATAATTGATATTAAAATTTTTATCAAATTAATTGCTGATTTTTAAAAATTATAAACAGATAAATCCACACTGAAAAATAATTCTTGACTGGGGGGGTGTAAATTTTCTTGGCTCAAGAAAATATTAATGAAGATTGAAAATTTCTTGAATGACGTCATAGTTTCTTGAGCCAAAAAAACTATCTTGAGTCAAGAAAATTTCTTCTTACTCCAAAATAACTTTTGTCTTCCTTAAAATTTTCTTGGTGCAAGAAATTTATTTTTTCTGTGCAATGAAATTAAAAAAAATTGATAAATTAGAAATAGAAATAATAAAAAAAATGTAATTATTAATGTAAACCATAAATGTTTTGTAAATAAATATAAAAAACTCAATCCTCTGTCTAAATACCGTAAAAACTAATCACAAGAAAACCAAGTGACTAATGGGATGATTTTCTGGAAATCGCGTGACTATTTGAGCGCTAAAAAGCGTCATTACACCATCGCAAGTACCAGTAAACGCAACAAATATATAAATATAATAACAAAAGCATATGAATATGATAAAAGGACACTTCGAAGGCGTATCCATGTGTAAAGAACGCCCATTGTGGGGTTCTTACTTACCAACCACGTGGTTAGGGCGTAGCTCCACAATATACAATATAGAATATATAAGAGTGAACTAGAGTCTCGTGGAAGAAGAAAGAGAACTCTCCAGCAGAGGAACAGGGACCCCATTCAAACAACACAATATCCCAGTTCCCCTCTAGTCGAGAGAATCACGAAACCCCCCTCGAGCAACCAAGCTCTTTCTGTATCCGTGCACGAGCCAGCTCTTCTTTCTAAGTATTCCGGCGTTAGGGCACACAAGACCAAGACGTTCGCGCCACCACTTTAGTTCGTATTTACGGAAAAACCTACCCGGAAAAGGAAAGTAACTTACCGCAAGATTTTCGAGAAAAACTGACTATTCTTTCCGTACAATTTTCCGAAAAAAAAAAAAAAAAAAAAAAAAAAAAAAAAGTTTCTTTCTATGACTTAAAATTATTTTTGTCTAGGACTTTTATTTATTCTATAAAAAATAAAGAAACTGCATGGAAATAAAACTCCAAAAGAGGAACCTCGATTGATGTTATGATGTAAAGCTTACCAAAAAATGTGCAAATAAAATAGTGTAATTGTTAAAGGTGATTGTGATAGACGATAGTGCAAATATTAATTTAAAAGTGATAACGTTTGAAGCGAGCAACTAAATGATGGATATTACGGGAGGCACAAAGTCGCTGTACGGAGGATACCAGTTCCAAGGTATATAATAAAATAATTAAAACATAAATAATAAATAATAAATAATTTTTTAAATTACAGCGAGCATGAAAAATATAATTCGACAGTGTATAGGCCATAAAATCATAACTAAATAACCGTGTCAATTGAATTGACTGTGATAAAGTATTAAATTCACGCCCGGGAGCTGAATCGTGATGAATATTAGAGGAAGATATATCATAAAGTATCGGTCAGTTAGGATTCATCCTCATGTTTATATGTATATATATTGCCTGCTGCTCGGTTATTTTCTCAAAATATCGATAACAGTAATTAAATAAATAATTTCGGCTGATGCCAGCGTGGCAATATCAGATGCAAATACATAAATATATATATAGGATAGATAAATTTTCATTACGATTACGCGCTGGACCTAACGGAGCACGGTTACCTCTCTTATTATATTGTATTATATTATGTTATATTATATTATATTCAGTATTAAACGTAAACACAGTAATTACGGTGGCCGCGGTTTTACTTACGCAAAATATATATGTGTGTGTAAGACGATCCACCGGCAGTGTCACGTAGAAAGGGTGGCTAATTCGAGTAACGATCAGACTTAATACTCGTTAACCCTGGAAATTGCTCAGCACGCCCATTAATGAGCATAATTTGTCAATTTAACGGGCTCTTACGGGAAATTTCACTTAAAATTTTTAATAATCCGCAATAAATTGTACGACCAATTATCTATTTATTACAGGGCAAGGGAGGATGAACCAACTGGGTGGTGTGTTTATCAACGGACGGCCGCTGCCGAACCACACACGTCTCAGGATTGTCGAAATGGCAGCTGCCGGAATAAGACCATGCGTTATTTCGCGACAACTACGCGTCTCGCATGGCTGTGTGTCGAAGATACTCAACAGGTACCAGGAAACAGGATCAATAAGACCTGGAGTAATTGGCGGAAGCAAACCACGCGTCGCTACTCCGGAAGTTGAGGCTCGGATCGAAGAAATCAGGCGGCTCGACCCCACGATCATGAATTCTCAGATTAGAGACAAACTTATCAAGGTAATAAAATTAATGGGCTTAGGCATGAATATTCAAGTACTGTCGATTTTTTTTTTTTAGATAATAAAAATAATATTGCGTGATAAAATGTATGAATGAGTAATATGGAATATTAATGAAAAAATAAGATGTAATGAAGGTGTTGAGTCTGACTACAGGATAAATTTTCAATAATATCTTCCGGCTAGCGATTGACCCCGGCACGTTCAGCCTTTTTTTACGCTCACTCGCGTGCTCTCATCTCTTACTTACACATGTACATTGCATATTAATGCCAGGCAATGTATTGAGAAAATATATGCATTTATATATGTATATTTATATTCCAAGCGGATTCTTCGGTCCAAGCATATACAGGCGGTATTCTTGTATATCTTGCGCTGCGATCACACTCAATGAAGCTTTTTAATATTTCTTATAACTTATAAGGCGGTTACCAAACTCATACTCTTGCTCATACTAATGTATAGATGTGCATTTATATACTGCATACGAAAAGCCTTGGGCGACTCGCGTGTCCTCTAATGCCGCCTACACCGACTCGGCATTTTCTTGCTCAGTTTTTCGCGGACGAACATCATCTATCAAACTCAAGGGATTTGGAATTTTTATTTATTACCTGAGAACTCGGGAATTTATGGGCTGAAATTTTAATGAATTTTGTGCTGAAAATTTTGCTTGTTTTCTAAGATTTTTTCTCGAAAAATTTTATTTAGGAATGCAAAAAAAATTTTTTTATATCAAAAGTGTTTCTATCAATTTTATTGTTACTTTTATTATCCCCATAAAATTTTAATTCAAAGTTTAATTCAATAAAAAAAATTTTGATTATAATTAAATAGCTTTCATAATTAAATTTTACACTAATAAAAAAATTGAATTGATTGAAGTGAAAAAATCTTGAACCAAGAACATTAATGTAAAAAATTTGATCATTTTAATCAAGCAGAAAATTTATTGAATTAAGTAAAATTTACCTTAACCAGGAACAATTTCTTCCTGAAGATTTTTTCTCTTAAATCAACTTAATTGTTTTATCAATGTAAATAATGTAATTTTTTAGGTATATGTTCAAAAGTATGTAATCAAAAAAATTACAATTTTTTAAAATAGATAAAAATAAATAATCTTCTCTGATACTTCGTAAATTTGTAGTCATAAAAAAAAAAAAAAAAAAAACTTTAAACTTGTATTAATAAAAATAATTAACTGATTAACTTATAAAAATTGAACTTAAGTTTTTATAAAAAGTCCATCCAATGCAAATACTCTTGTCCAATTCTAAATTTTAATTCTCCATAATTATAATGTTAAATATTCGTAAAAATAAATAAAATTTCCACAAATTCTAAAAAGTCAATCCTTAAATTCAAATCCAGCAGAAAAGTAAAGTTCGATCCGTTGATAAAGAGATAAATTGCAGCGGGATAAAAAAAGGCATGTAGCTTATAGCCTAAACCGTTCACCGAAAAGACGTATCTGCCGTTGCAAGAGCTATAGGCATATCGGAGAGTGCCCAAGTGTGTGAGTAAGAGTAAAAAATACACGTGTGTATATTTACGAAGGAAGAGGATCGAGAAAAGTGAGGCATGAGGTAAAAGGTATAAGCATCACATTAGAGTTGGATGAAAGAGTTTTTAAAAGGAGAGAGAAAAAGAGAGGAGAGGCAGCGACTGTGGTCGGCATTAATACGGCATTTAATGCTGTAAGGAGGCGTTCCTGGGGTCCGCGTAGTTCTCCCCGAGGCAGTTATCTCCGTCTCTGTTGCCCTGTCATCGCCCTGGTAGAACCAAGACCGAGACCAAGACAAAGAGCACGCCAGACTTTACTGTAGACTCCAGACTTAACTCTTTACTGTCTATAAGCGATCTCTCTCATCGACACGCGGGATATATCGTTATTGTTTCTGAGATACTATATGCCGCGATCGGAGATATAAGAGATGAGATAAACGATCGAATCTCCCGATCGCGATGTATCCGTACGTACACGGTACGTCTACTCGATATATCTGCAGACTTAATCATTTTGCAATATTTTATTTTATTATTTTATTGCTATTTTTTATTGTTTACTCCGTTTACTGCTCTTTCATTATTTTTTTTTCATTTATTCTCTAACTTGGTACTTGTAACTTGTTTATTACCTTCAAACCAGTCTATTGAAAACTCATTTAATTTAGCTGCGTGTTAATTTATTTTAATGTTTTTATTTATTTTTATTATTACAACCTATTTACGTTCGTTTGGAATTTTTTGAAATTTATTTAATAAAATATAAAATATAAATAAATACCTACGCGGTTTAATGGCCCATAAACGTGCTGCTAAATGGTAAAAATGTTTATAATTTAACACAGGTAGTGTTAGCGAATCTTAAATAGTTCTAACGGTCGCTAAATTTTAAATTTTCCCATGCAGATAAAATTTTACCGGGTGCAGTTAAAGACTTTATATTTTTACACTGATAAAAAAATTATCTTGATCAAAGAAAAAAAATCTTTATCCAAGAGAATTATTTTGAATTAAGTATAAATATTATTAACTTCAAAAATTATTGTAAGTTTAAGTAAATTTAATTTAAGAATTTGTATATTTAAATCAAAATAATTTTATATTCAATGATTAAATGATTAAATAATTAACTTTAAAAGTAATCAATTTAAAAATAAGTTTTATGGATTAACATTAAAGTATTAACACATTTTTATATTTTTAGCCAAAAAATTGTTGACAAATATTAAAAAAAAAAAAAAAAATACAGTAAAGGAAATATATTAGCGATGATTTTAACCCCCAAAAATTCATACCTTGCCAAATTAATTGAGAAGTCATAATATAAAATTAAATGCATGTCTATATATTGAGAAAATCATTCTAAAAACCTGCACGCACTTTCTTAATTCCGAAAAACCTTTTGTTGATTTTAATTAAATTTTATTTTATAATAAAATGATCAATCACTAGCCAGCCACTTTATCGCATTAGAGAAAGAATAAAGTCTAAGAGAGAAGAATATAAAATGAAATGATAAATAATGATTGTCGATTCATCAAACTACTTCTAACAAGACATGCTAACTTTATTTGTGCAGGAGGGCTTCACCGATCCACCGAGTCTCAGCTCTATTAACAGACTTTTGCGCGGAGGCAGAACTGGCGACGACGGCAAGAAAGATTACACTATTGATGGCATACTGGGTGGTGGTAAGTATTTTTAATTAATAATAAAATTTCTATATAGAAATTTTATTTATAAAGTAAGTTGTAAAAATTATACTTAATGCATCGCAGCGAAAAGTATAAAAAAAATTATTGTTTATCTGCACTCCATTCATGCAATTGCGTGGTCGTGTTTGGGGTTTGCTTTACAAACATACCTTCACACGTACATTGATACATGCGTATGTTGAAAAGAAGAAGAAGAAAGAAAATACTGGGCAAAATTTAATCTTCGGTGGGCGTGAGCTGGTTGCCTACACGTCCGACAAACGGATTACAGGAGTGTCAATATCTTACAGGCTACGCATTATCCTTCTTTCTGTGTCTCGAAAATATCCACCACTCATTTTTTCAACTCCTGTCTTGTTCTTCAGTTCAGAACAAACAAACCTCGACAAATTAATTTGCTATAGAAATTTTCGAGTACCGATTAAAATTACACATTTTTTTTCATTTTAAAATTTAATATTAATTTTACTCCTTGGATATCGATCTTGTTACATTTTTCAAATTTTTTGATAAAATTAATAACAATATTAATTTTTTTTTTTTTGGATTTTACTTAAATTAAGTAAACTAATTAATAACTAACTCGTTAAATTAACTAAATTAAATTAAATAATAAACGAATTAACTATCTAATTAAAATTTTTTATTTTATATCGAAAAATTTTTTTTTAATTTTCCAAATATTTTTAATTCTACTCCAAACACTCTCTATCAACGAAACATGTCATGAAAATAAAAAAAAAACCCGAGATCTCGAGTTGAAAAGCCATATGTACATATAAACAAGATTGAGAGACATTAAAGCCCGTGAAGTGGACACTCGACAAGATCGAGGAATGTGTTTTTGGAAGTCATCAGAACAGAAGGTGTGGCGGAATCTGAAACAGAATGTGTGGAGCATATCGGATCTCACAGACGATACGGCGACGAGCGACGAGCTCCAGCAGCTCAAGCTCCGGGTAGACAAGAGCTGATGCTTATGAGAATAATAAATAAAAAAATTTGTTGTTATTATTATTATTACATATAAAAGATGAATAATAATAAAAGTAATAAAAATAAAGAAAATAACAGCGATAGTGTGTGGACTGCATCACGGACGAAGAGTCCGGTAACCCGGAGCCCAGAGTCCGGGGATCAGCCTACTCACACATCCACACTACACACGGCTTACACATACTCACCGCGGCAGAGGGTAAGAGGGCCCAGAGTCCCGCGGAGATCAAACGGACCGCCCGCCACACGTCAACAGTGGTGCTCATTTCGTTAAATTATTTATAAATTTGCCAATTTTAAAACTTACCAACTCTAGTATGAGGTATAAGAAAGATCAGATGAGTTTTTTCTCTTAAATATTATGGACTGCGGAGCAGAGGTCAGCAGAAATATTTTTTTTATAATAATTTATCAAGAATTAGTCAGTTTTTTTAATCACATTCTTAATTTTTTGAATATGAATTATGAAATAAATAAATTATTAATGATTTAATATTTTTTTATCAATTTAATTTTTTTAAAATTAGTATTGATCACTCGAAAAAATTTTAATTAATTTATAATCAGTCTACAAATTATGGTTATAAAATTAACAAATTTTTCATTTTATTTAATAATTAAATTGATACAAAAATATATTTTAATAAATTTTTACATGTAGATTTTTTTTTTTTTTTTTTTTATGAATATATTTGTTAAGAAAAATTCTAAAATTTGTCACTTAACATAATTTTTTAAATACTTAGTAAAAAAAAAAAAGTAATTATAAATATATCTATTTTTGCCAACCTCTGCTATACAGAGGCCGACTCGGAGCTGGTAGAATTAAAGCCCAACAGAAGCATCAATTATCATTATCATAATGTATATAATTAACAGAATTAATTAGCTGAGGATGAGGACGAGCATAAGCCCAGGTGGCCAGGTTGTTTCGGAGTAGAAAAATATATTGATGAGAAGAAAATATGACAAGTATTTAGAACATTTCCGACCCTCTTTAAGATTAAACAACCTCATGAATTCCGTATAATCTAATATAATATAATATGTCTGTTGGTGTTTATATTTAGTTGGTAAGTTGGTATTGGAATGGATAAAAAAGGGAATAGGAATAGTAATAAGAAATAGACGCGATGATATCTAAGATATCGGCGCAAATGACGAAGGCGAGCACCTCTGAAGAGTAGGTAAAGTAAAAGGTATCGCCGGAGTTTGAGTTTTGAGTTGTTAGAGTTTAAAATGAGCGAGGAACAAGGAAGGAATAATGTTTATGTATGTATACATATGTACTACACGGTGTGGAGCACTAGGTGGTATAGGTGTCGGCGGTCGAGCTCTCGAGCAGGAATGACACGTAGCCACAGGCTTTCTTATTCTTTCTTATTCTGTTCCTTTGGACTCAGCCGCCGACCAAGGATTAGCCTAATGGGTCCTGCCCACCCCCCTTTGCTTCGCCCACCCTACTTTCTCAATCCCTTATACCGCGTACACACCATACACGATATGTGAACATGTATGTATCCACGACAGACACTACTAATACTTTGGTACCACACTCCGCTGGATAAGACTTTCGGATTGCGTTTTATAATATGTATATCCAGCTCGACTCCCTCGTCCACGTCCAGATCTCGCTGCCCGTGATATGTGTTATGTGATGGGTGAGAATCGGCGGACAGCCTTCAAGTATATAGACGGAAAATTTAATAGTGAAATGTGATTAAGTGATACCTAAATTTACATTTTTATTTTTGCTTTATTTATCATTGACAATTTTTTATCCATTTAGTTACACGAAAATTTATTTTTAGACACTGATTAAAATTTTTTTGTTTAATTCTAGACAAAGAAATTCTTAAAAATTATTTTCTATTAAATCAAGTTAATTTTTTTTATCACTATACATTCAATAGAAAATTAAATTTTATCCAGTGAAATTTTCATTTGAAACTAATTTTGTCAAGTGTCCTTTTTTCGTGACCAAAAAAATGAAAATTGAGATCTTGTCCACTGTTTAACACTTTGTAATTCACTCTTGCAATATTAGTAATTCATGTATCCTGAATAAACGCATTTAAATTTAAAGAAAAATTATACTTTTCTAAGCAGACTAAAAATGTGTCTATATTAGTTACGTCCATAAATTTTCCAATTTTCTAAAAAAAAGTTTCACTAATTATTTCTAAAGTCCAAAAACATCTAAATCTTAGGATATTACTCCAAATTAAAGGGTAAATTTTCTTAAAATTCTCTCTTCGTGTTCCGACATCACAAACAACAGTCCCGCATAATAGAGCCTGATAAGAGCGATTTGCTTATCAATTAGTCCAACGTGTCGAATTAATTACCAGGTTGCGTTCAGTAATATACAATACCTAGGTAATTAAATAGAGGCTTTAAACTCCAAAGTTTTTTAATAAATACAAGTAAAAAAAAAAAAAAAACTTAGTGTCGAAAGCTATGAATTAAGATCTAATGACTTGTAAAAACGATAGACCACCCAGCAGTATTTGGATTTGAAAGATTACTTTTTATTAAATACAAAAATATAACAAGTACTTAAGCTTGGTGCAGATCCTTCCTCCTGCCTCTGGGTAATACATTTAATAGAATATTTTGTTGCCTTGTGTGGTTGTGTTGCTTTATGCGGAGGTGACTTTTGGGACGAAAATTAATATTTATGGTTTTTGAGTTATTTGGTTTTGCTGGTACCAATCGACACAGTCGAGAGAATAATGAAAAAGGAAACCAATGTCTGATGGTTCTCACCGGGCGTTGACAGGAACTCACCAGCCAAAACGGAGCATAAAAACCTCGGGTATTTTTTTCTATTGTCATATTCTCACATTATTTATATTATATTATATCTTTCCCTGGTAGACCCTAAGGTGTAGAGCAGTCTGATGAGTTTCCGTAGCATTTTGTTAGCATTTAAGAGACCTCACACATGGACATGGACCCCCAGCTACTTCTTCTACTTTTACTCCTAATTCTAGTCCTTTAGTAAAATACATATAACACATATATGTATGGAGGAACTTGACTTTATATTATATATACTTGAATATACTTAGTTAACTTCAGGCAAAAGTAGGGAGAGTGAGAGAAAGAAATGAAGGAGCCGAGCGGCTAGATTTATAACTCAGCGGCACCTTTTCCCTGCGTTTGACTAAAAAGCGCGATTCGACACACGGAAAGGCGCAGGGATGGGAGGAGAAGTTTCTCATTCAACAGGATAAGTATAATAGATTCACTTGTTCTGGCTGCTATATTGCTGCTTATACTCTATTCTAATACATAATATAATATTGGGACGATAGCGTGTTACATGTAGGACTGGACTTGTCGAAACTACTTGCTCCGAAACTCCCACACAAACAACTAAACTCTACTTGGGCGACAATCCAGTTTTCCGTAATTCGGGAGGTTCAGGACCACACTCACGCTACTTGTAACTTATAAACTGGTAGCAGTACGCTTATTTTAAGTGAGATATATGTGTCCAGCATGGCGAGAATTTTAAATCTCTGTTGGCTTTGTTCTTGTCATTTCCTACAACATATTTTTAACAAGCTATTTCACAGTTTTCAGGGAAAAGAAATAAAATTTGTTTTTCCGGTTTTATTTTTAACTTCCCGCTAAAAATCTCAGATTTTCAAAAATCGGGAAGTTATTGTTTTCACCCCGTTTTACAAAAATCGAGTTTTCATCAGATCTCGACGTTTGAAGGTCACAGGAAGCTTCCCTGACTATTTTTACGATGATGTCCGTACGTCTGTATGTGTGTGTGTGTTTTTTTTTTTNNNNTGTGTGTGTGTGTGTGTGTGTGTGTGTGTGTGTGTGTGTGTGTGTGTGTGTGTGTAAACCTCTTGGAACTTTTGAACGACTTGACCGATTTCATCGCGGTTGGTGTCATTCGAAAGGGCTTCACTAAACTTAGATTTCCTGAAAATTTGAACCGATTCGGACCGGTAGATTT